TTTTCGATATATGTGACCAGATGGCCCGTTCGGACAATTAGTTTCAATCACACTGGAGAATATATAGCTTCGGCCAGCGAGGATCTGTTCATTGATATTGTAAATATTTATGAACTTACTATCATTTGTCAAAAATTATCCAGCAGAATACAGATCCTCATGCAATCATCATATATATCTTTTTTTCCTTTTTTTGTTTGTTTTTTTTGTGCCACAGGCCAATGTCCAAACGGGCTGGTCAGTTCACCAGATTCCATGCCGGGCTGCAATGAACAGTGTCGAATGGAATCCAAAGTACAACTTGCTTGCATATGCTGGGGACGATAAAAATAAATACCAGGCTGAAATCAAAATGCTCGAAGAATACAAGTTAGAAGACAATCGCTCGAGCTCTGCTCGAGATCGATTGAAATCAAAATGCTCGAAAAATTGTTCGAACTCGGCGAGTTCGACTCAAATTTTAAATAAATTACCATTAAGTACATATATAAAATATTATAATATTTACATATAAGGAGCATTTTAGTAATTCACTATATATCTCGAGTCGTTTCCTTTTGAAACCTATGCTTGAGATCAACTTGACAACATGATTGAGCTGCTCGAACTCAAGTCGAGCTTTGATTCAAGCGTTCGTGAATTGCTCGATTCATTTGCAAACCCTACTCACAACAATGTATTTTTGATAATAGTCTTTAAGCCAAAAGACCAAAATATATCAAAACGGAAACTCAACATAAGCATAAAATGGGAAAACATAATATAACTACATAAACCAGAAATAACATAAACAATCTGTTCACATATTTACATTTTTCAGTGATCAAATCAACAGTCAATTTTCCATTTTTTTTTCCTAATTAATTACACAAACCATGACACAATTCCAGTTATCAAACACACATCCCCCCTACACCTTTAAAACCATTTATTTATCCACCATATAAACTCACAAGACCTTATTGCTATGTACACATATCTGATCAATCAAACACTTAGACTCTTCATAGTTCATCACTCTCCCGTCAAATTCGCATACCAAGGCCCATGAACAATAACCGAAGCCTTAGCCGTCACAACCAGCAGAGCCCCAACACGCGCCACGTCATCAACGAGCAAACTTCTAACTTGTTTCTAAACAACTAATAATTTTAAAAATGTATTTGGTAAGCATCACAAGTTATCTTCTAACTTGTTTTTAAACAACTAATAATTTTATTGTATTCAAATAAATATATTTTGGTTGATAAACTTTTTAAAATCCCAAGCATATTTTATAAACTTATATAAGTAGCTTCTTTTTTTCTAAATAAAAAAAGAACTTGAATTTTTTATTTCACCTCACTTATCCAACCGTTTTTCATATTGACTAGTTTTTTGCAAATAGACTTAGGACATCAATTAATTTACCAATTATAAATTAGTTATTTAATTAAATATACTAAATATGCCCTAAAACTTATGACGTATTTATTTGATATTTCAAAAAAAATAATAAAAAATCAAGTATTCAATTTATTTAACACTTTAACTTATTGGAATTTCGTAAAACGTTATAGAGATAAGAGTCTTTGAACTAGAAGGCGGTTTACAAAGGATTCTAAACAAGAGGAGAACAGGTCGGTTTGAGGTCCATGAAGGATCTGATCGAAAATTAGCTTGTCGAACAAGCAACATGTTCGATAACAGTGCTGATAATATTTTTATACATCAACAGGCTGGTATCGGTTCGATCACTGAACCGATAAGAAAAACTGGTACTGAACCGATATGTGTGGTAACACTAAAATAGGAACCGAAACCGAATCAACTAGATTTCGGTAATTGATTTTCGGTTATTGAAAACACGGTTCGGTATTTACCGATAAAAAACGAAAAAAGCGAAATGAAAAACAATGTTGTTCTAATTAGTAAGAAATAAAGAAATAAGGAAGAAAGGAAAAAAATATTTTTTTTTCGGTTTTCTTTTTCGGTGAGTTTTGATTAAATTTATAGTGCACTAAGAAAGAATAAGCAAGGGGCGATATTAAAAAAAAATGGTGGAATTATTGCGGTCAGTAGGCTTGTAAACAAATCAATTTTTTTTTATTCGATTCGATATTCGTGATTCGATCGAACACGAATAATGTTTTATATTCGAAAGTTAAACGAATCCGAATTCGAATTTGTAGATATTCGATTCGAAAGTTGAATATTCGATTCGTTAACAATAGTTATATAAATTTTATAAATTATGTATATATTATACATTTTGTTTATAATATATATGTTTATATATATTGTTATATTCCTAATATATTTATGACATAAAAAGTAAAAATATAATATTTTTACTAAAAATATTTTTCCTAAAAATATATGAAAAAATAAAAATTATTTTTGTAATTATAATAATTTTTAAATTATAATATTTTTCTGAAAACGAATTTCGAATCGAATCGAATATCCTCGAATATTCTAAACGAATCGAATACGAATCAAAAAATGAGTTAGTTAACGAATCGAATACGAATTCGAATCCTAGAATATTTTAACGAATTTGAATCGAATATCTTAATATTCGCTTTGATTCGATTCGTTTACAACCCACTTTGCAAAAACATTTATAGATAGTAATTACATGTACATTGGTTAAAAAAAACTAGGCTTTCACTGCAATTTTGTCAGTAGATGTGTGAGGCCGATTTTTAATTTTATTTATTTATTTATTTTGTTCTCTAAGTTAAGTCAAATAATGTGACATGAAATTTTGTATAAGATTGATTAATTAAGTTATGTATTATTGTAGCCTAATTTAATATTTATATTTAACTAATTTAAGTATTTAATTGACTAATATTTTGTATAAGATTGATTAATTAAGTTATGTATTATTGTAGCCTAATTTAATATTTATATTTAACTAATTTAAGTATTTAATTGACTAATATTTAACTAAGGCTACTTAAGTAACTTAATTGATTATTTCTTAAAATTTAAATTAATATTTTTTTAATCTTTATTGATTCGGTTCGGGTTTACCAATTTAGTAGCGGATTCATTTCCGCTTATTGTCTCGTGGGTTGAATTTGGCTTTTTGTTTTTCGTAAAAAAATACCGAATTTTTACCAAAGTAAATAACACACAAGTAGTTTTAAGAATTTTTAATTGGTTATCATTTATTAACTGTAGAAGACTAGAAGTATATATATACATGCATATTGGTAGAATTTACGAAACTAATATAATTCACGGCCATTTTCATTTTTCTTCTGCTAACGAAACCTCACCATCTCGTTCAAAAAATTCAGTCCACCTCTGCTTGCCCTCACTGGTAGGTTACATGGCCGATGCTGAAGAGAAAAACAAGGCCCTCAGTGGCATCGCACAAGAGAACTAAAGGAAATTCGCTGAGAACTAAAGGAAATTCGCTGAGAAGCTCGGTAAATTCTCTGTTATTCTTTGCTTCTTATATATAAATGCTGAAGAATAATACTTTGTAATCTGTATCTAGATTACTCATTACTAGAAATTGGTGCATTAGAATAAAATTTTATAGGACTAATCAAGATATAGAAAGGATAAATATTTTTTTAATTTAAAAGGACAAATATTTTTCTAATTTAAAATAAGATTGCATGACAAATATTTTTTTTAATATGAAATAAGATTGTTGGTTAGATCGGCAACTCATATATATTGCTCTAAAAATATTCATTGTCATAGACGTACGAAGCAGATGTGCCAGATTTTGAAACATAACTGAAGTTTCTATAATAAACCAAAACTTCATGTTCGACAGTTTCTACAATCATCCCAAAAANAAACTTTCCCAAGTACCATACATCATCTACCTAAGCTAAACTCACTTTGATCACCTCAAACTCTATCTATTCGAGCACATGTCAAAAAGCATCTTCCTTCCCTCCACAATCTCGTCAAAGAAATCATCCAACTGCCACGTTATCCCCTCTGCCCCACATTGACTCTTTTGTTTATATCGATACCAATTTCGCTCTCATATCCGATATCCGTACTCTTGATCGTCATTTTCAGTTCGTCCAACGCAAACTTTGCGGCCCAAAGCTCAAAAAGAACGACTCCGGGCTCAAGCCCGAGACAGGCTACCACAGTCACAATCCTGTCGTGCAGACTGGCGCTTGAGGCCACGAAGTTGGAGCCGATAAACGGGCTTACAATCTCTTCTTGGTTGTTCTCTCGGCAGAAGCTGGTCTCGGGCCAGAAGTAGACGAGCCCGCTCAGAAGTATGGCGAGAAGAAGCGTGTTTGCGTTTTTCAGGGCGTAAAGCGCGCCTTGGAAGCCGTTGTATTTGTTAACAAATATTCGGTCTCGATCAAATTTACAATTTTCGCGTGGTGTTCTTGTAGAGAATCAAATGCTAACCTGTCTAAAAATCTGCGAGTTTAAGACACGATGATCGTCGAGAAAAGTTGCCAAGTTGGCGCCGCTCGAGCAGTAGGCTTCCATGTTGGACACGCCCGACTTGATGACGTGGCAGGCCTCCCAAAGGCGGGAGGTCTCGTCCATGTACTCGTCGAGCCATTTTTCTCCGACCCGTAGCTTTAGCTTTTGGGCCAAAATGACGAGTTTGGTGTGGAAGGATCTCAGGGACGAGAAGACGTTCGAAAGGAAATCGAACTGACATGAAGTTCTGAGATAGAAAGACGTTTCCGAGACCGTCGAGCTCTCGAGCGAGGAAGTTAAGGAAGCCACTGACTGAATTTGAGGAGGAGAATGAGACATTACTATTACTGTCAATGGAGTGTAGGTGTGAAGGAGAAGAAAAAAAAGAGAAGATGCTTTGGATTAAAGATGTTGTGATTAAATTGGAAATAAAGGTGATGGAGTGATTCTTGAATGTTTGGTAAAGTGTGTTTGAAATGAAGAGTGAAGAGAAAGTGTGGTTGTGGAGTTAAAAAGGGGGTCATGGGTCTCCTTTTATAAGAGTGAGAGGGAGTAATTATAGCAAGAAAGTAGAATATAGGAGATTTGCTTGTTCTACTTTCTTTTATTCTTTTGTATATTTTATATCACTTGTGTATATTTTTAATTGAGTGTTATATTCCATTCTCTAATTTTTCAATTCATGACTTTTGCATGTTTTTTTTTATTTGGATAATTTATTTCTTTTTCCCTTTATGTCTTGTCTCTTATAGTTTATTAATATCTTGTCTCATGTAGTTTATTTGTTGATATAAGATATTTTAGGGGTGACATGGCTACAAATTAAAATCAATTTTTATGAGATAGTTTTTTACACTTTTTAATTCAAAATTCAATTCAAGTTTAATCTAACACAACTCTATTCAATATTATCAATATAATCAAATAGTAATCAATCATTTTCATCAATCTTTATTTAATTTTCTATTTATATACTCACATATTTTTAATTGTCTATCATTTTAATAACTTATCTCATACTATTACATCACATCAACTTTACTTATTACATTTTAAATATTATTTAAATACAAACTCAACATTTCATCAATCCCTTATTTAATCAATTTTATTTAAAATTAACTCAATTTAACTCAAAATTCAATCAAAATCGATTTTGATTTATATCCAATCGCCTCCTTAAGCTAAGTAACAACACTCTATAATAACTATACAACTTTCACTCTTTAAGTGACATAATTTAAAATAAAATTAAATAAAAGTATGTCATTGTATTATCTTTTAAAAATAACTTAAATAAAAATGACATTGCACAATATAACAATGTATGTTATTCAAAGACTGTTTGATCGACCTATGGTCATATCATAAGCACCCAAATTAACCTTATCAAAAAATATATAGTAATGTGAGCAAGGATTGTATCCATGAGAGAAGTAAATTAAACTATTAAAACGTGTTTAAAAAAGGGTGAATTTGATTTAATGATCTAATTAAACTAGAAATTATCTATCAAACTAAGAAATAAAAAGTAAATAATAATAAAATTCAAGAAATGAAATATAGTAATAGGTTGAATGGATTTTCATCATAGACTATTCCACTGATCTTTCATGTAAGAATATCGACTCACAATCTATGCAAATATCACTGAATATAAAATCTATGTTTAATGTTGTCACACAAAATAAATCCGTCTAGTACTGGACTCTTATAACTAGTTAATTCTCAACATCGTGAAGAGTTATCCTAGCAGTAGCATTAAACACAAGCGATCGATAGTCCAAACGATAAGTACCTAATCCGCTAAATCTTAATTTGTTCAATTGTTCCGCCTGCGAACGACATCGCCTAAATTCGGTCAATTATTAATCTTATAAGTTGCTTCTAGCGAAAGACACATGATCTAAATTAGACTCAAGTTTCAAGAAAGCAATAGATAGTATTCACAAAATAAAAGGTGACCAATCTATCAACTAAGCATAACAATTATGAACTATGCACACGAATAAATTAATGCGAAAATATGTACACTGAAATAAGTTAAGCCCAACACCATGGTCATGTTGCAAATTTAGCATAATTCCGACACAGTTATGCTCGTGGTATTCCTTCTGGAACTTTTGCCCGAGATGGGTCCGCCAGATCATTCGTCGAGCACGACCAGCAGCAACCACTGTACATCTATGCTCGTCTTCTTTTCGAGCAGCCCTCTCTTTTACGAGCAAGTCCTCTAGGGCCCAAACATCATCGGCGTGGCACTGTTTTGCCTTTCTTAAGTCCCGAGCCAAGTCATGGTTGGCTAATTCTCATGGGCCAGGATATGGGTGCCTCGCTCGAGCTCAGGGATTGTTCGACCTGAGCCCGAGAATGCAGCATCGAGCAAAGGAACCAGGCGGACAAAGCCCTACATTGAGCATTGAGGAAACTTAAGTTAATATTGTTAGCCACCAAATTTTGACAATTGCAGCAGCCCCAATTGCAGCAGCCCTCGTGGTGTTTTCTTTATTGAAAAATGGAGTACACCTTTGTGGAAAAAAAATGGTGCAACTCCCCTCTATAAATAGAGGGATTCTCATGAACATAAATCACGCCAAAAATACAACGAAAAGAACAACACCAAGAAAGAAAAAAAAGAGAGAGAGAAAATGGTGTGAGCAAGAAGCAAGAATTTAGCTTCTGTGTGTATTTGAGTTGTGAGTTGTGAGTGAGTTTGAGAGTGTTTTGTAAACACGAGTATATTTCTTTTTTTGAATAAAATATCTGCAGTAGTCCGGAGACGTAGGCATTATTGGCCGAACTCCGTTATCAAATTGGTGTGTCCAATTTTTATTTTTTATTTCACTTTTATAGATCCGACTTCATGAAAAATTCAGTGTATTTTTCCCAACAACTGGTATCAGAGCCAGATTGTTAATTCTGTATTTTTTGTGTGGTGTTACTATTCCGTTGAAAAACGTGAATAGTACCAATTTTGTCGGCGCTACAAATTTATCTACCGACGTGTTTTGAAACACGGTAGTTCACAAAAGTTGCAGAAACGATCCGGCAAAGAAGTCAGATCAGAGTTGAAGTGATGGCTGCAGACGAAGGAAAAATGAAAATCGAAAAGTTCGACGGTGCGGACTTTGGCTTCTGGAAGATGCAGATCAAGGATTATCTGTACCAGAAGAATATGTATCAACCACTCACAGGAAAGAAGCCAGAGGACATGAAGGAGGAAGAATGGAGTCTCCTTGACAGACAAGCTCTTGGAGCCATTCGGCTGACATTATCCCGTAATGTTGCTTTTAACAATACAAAAGAAAAGACGACAGCAGGCCTCATGAAGGCTCTTTCCAACATGTACGAGAAACCATCAGTCTCAAATAAAGTTCATTTGATGAGGCGATTGTTTAACCTTCGGATGACCGAAGGTGCTCCGGTGGCACATCATCTCAATGAGCTCAATACCGTTACAACCCAGTTGAGTTCAGTTGAGATCGAGTTCGATGATGAAGTACGGGCTTTAATACTTTTGTCTTCCCTACCAGAAAGTTGGAACGCTACGGTCATGGCTGTGAGTAGCTCATCGGGAAGCAATAAGTTGAGATTTGATGATGTTCAAAATTTGGTTCTCAGTGAAGAAATCCGGCGGAGAGAGTCGGGTGAACCATCGACTTCTTCTGTATTAAATACAAAGTCAAGAGGAAGAAGTTCAACCAAAGAAAGCAGACACAACAAATCAAAAGGAAGAAGATCCAAGTCCAGAAATCATCGTAGTTCCCAAACCTCAAAGTCGATCGAGTGCTGAAATTGTGGGAAGACCGAGCACTACAAAACCAGTGCAAGAGTGCACCGAAGGGTCAGGAGGCAAAAGAAGAGGCAAATATTGCTTCATCCTCTAGAGGAGATTCGCTGATATGTTCTTTAGAGAACAAGGATGAGTCTTGGGTGTTAGACTCTGGAGCATCCTTTCATGCTACCTCACAGAAGGAACTATTCGAGAATTATGTTCCTGGAAATCCTGGTAAAGTTTACCTTGGTAATGAGCAATCATGTGAGGTTGTAGAGAAAGATGCAATAAAAATCAAGCTGAGTGGGTCTGTATGGGAATTGAAAAATGTTCGACATATTCTCGACCTGACGAAGAATTTAATCTCCGTGGGCCAGCTAGCCAGTGAAGGCTACACGACAATCTTCCATGGTGATGATTTGAAGATTTGAAAGGGTGCAATGACAATTGCTCGAGGCAAAAAGAGTGGTACTCTTTACAAGACCACAGGAGCATGTCATCTGATTGCAGTTACAGCAAATGAAAATCCCAATCTATGGTACCAAAGACTTGGCCATATGAGTGAAAAGAGGATGAAGATCATTCACTCAAAAGGAAAATTACCAGGCCTCCAGTCAATAGAAATTGACATGTGTGAAGGTTGTATACTTGGAAACCAGAAGAGAGTCAGCTTTCAAACAAGTAGAAGGACTCTGAAGAAGGAGAAGCTTGAGCTCGTCCACTATGATGTTTGGGGTCCAACCACTGTCCCATCCATTGGTGGGAAGCAATACTTCGTGACTTTTATCGATAATTACTCCAGAAAAGTATGGGTTTACTTTCTGAAACACAAGTCAGAAGTATTTGAAGCTTTCAAGATTTGGAAAGCTATGGTGGAAAATGAGACAGACTTGAAGATCAAGAAGCTCAGATCCGACAATGGTGGTGAATATGTAACCACTAGATTCAAGAAGTTTTGCTATGAGCACGGGATCAGAATGGAGAGAACCGTGCCTGGTACGCCTCAACACAATGGTGTAGCTGAGCGTATGAATCGAACGTTGACTGAAAGAGCCAGAAGCTTGCGTGTGCAGTCAGGCCTACCAAATATATTTTTATTTTTTATTTCACTTTTACAGATTCGACTTGATGGAAAATTCAGCGTATTTTTCCTAACAAATATATCAGGAAAGCAAGCCGAATTCATTAATAGAAGCACAAGTCAGAGGTTTACCTGCGCTAAAGAGCGAAAAATGTGCTCGCCCTATAACCTGAGATCCGAGCTGCCAAGGTTGAGATCTTTGGGGTAATTGTTATAGAGTTATAACAATTCTCATCGAGCAGCCAGGCTGTACCCACAGGCTGCACTCGATTTTATCGATTCGTATCAATTCTCCATATCGATTTTATGTTAAAGCCATCTTCAGCCCTTATCTCGTACTCAAGTGTAAAGATTACTCTAATCTAGAGTAGAGTAGAGTTAAACAAAAGAAAATTTCATCTCCAGGCACTAAATTTTACTCTACACATTTAACTATTTAAATTATCATTATATAAATTATAAAATATACATAAATACAAAAATATTTATATAAATCTGCTAAGACATGTATCAAGTATTTATTAAAATATTCATTAAGATTGAATAACATTTTTAATTTATAATTTAAGCCGTAGAAAATAAACTTTTTATTTTATTTATAGTCATATTATTTGTCAAACTATTTATCACATATTAATATATTACACATTTTGCTCTATTATGAATAATATATTACACATTGTTTAATTTCAGAGTGGTATGACATGCTTAAGTTTCAGTTATAAAATAGTTGAAGTGCATGTTTTAGTTTATGAAGAAAAAGAAAGTTTTTATGCTCTGTTAAGTTACCTTTTTTTGATATATTGACCAAGTCTTGCTAGATTTATTGAGTTTTAAAGAGAGTTAAGAGGTGGTTGTAGCAAAACCTTGTTCTTTTGAGTGGGTTGTTTTTGTCTAAATTTCAAAGGTTAAGTTTCAGTTAGAATTAATTAAGAAGCATGTTAGTTAGAATTAAGAAAAGAGAAAGCATGATTTATGATTTATGTGTCTTGTTGCCTTGTTGCCTTATTTTGTGTTGACCTTGTTGCTGCATTGTGAATTTGTGATACTTTTTTGTTAGGTAGTATGATCGAAACAAAAAGAACACGTCCTACGTTTCAAAGTTGAGCATAGATAAAAAAAACCGATTTTTTCTCATGTAAGAAGTTTCCATGAATAAAAGCCTGAAAATAAGGTAAATAAACCCATAAGATAAGGATCCGCATGCCTCTCATGCCTCTCTGATTCTCTTTACACAGAGCACTAACTGTGATGCTCAAATATAATAAGCACTAACTGTGATGCTCTTAACTAATAAGTACATGTCCTATATGATCAGAACAGATTTTGTCGATAACAAACATTGAATAGCACTTCATGCAAGCACAATGAAGAAAAGCTATGAATGAAAACCAAAAGATATTTGGTCAAAGATAATTACCTCAGTAGTAAGCGGGCATGCCTAGGTAAGGCCCCCAGGTTGAACTCTTGGTTCTTTATAAGTATTTGTTGGATAATATAGGTGGTATGTTCTATTTTTTCTAGCTAATGATGAAAAGGAAAATATTATAGTTGTTGATATTTAGCATTTCTATGTTTTGGGGACCTTGTGTTGTGTGAGTTGGTATTAATAAATTTAGTTGGAACATTCTGTTTTTATATATTTTTACATTTTTTCCTGTATTGAGTAAATTTTTCACTGTTCCTTGTAATTGCATGTTCAGGCAACATCTTTGGAGGCAACAGGGCATAGAGGAGGCTCACATGGTTTTGAAGGAAAGATATGGCCCAGCTGATATAAGTATAGACTCTACTATTCAGTATTTAGTTGTTTCCGTTTCCGATTTTTGCTCTCGCCGGAACTCAACTAGTTATTTTACTATACAAAACCCGTAAATGCAGCCCCGTACATGGCATCTAGTTATTTTTGCAAAACCAGTATTATGCAAGCCCATCTGGTTACTAAACAAAATCCGTATTATGCAGTGGCATCCCGTTCCGGCTATTTTTAGTCTGCAAAACATGTATTATATGCAGCAGGCTACATGAAGTGGAGTTGAGATGTTTGCTTAATTGTAGTCTAGTTTATACGGTTAATAGGGACATAAGTTTTTGGTCAAATAATTGGTTTATGGCTATTAACGTAGCATGATAGTCTTGAGCACCACCTGATATTTCAGTTTAAATTGCTCACCTCTTGTTGCTCATAGAGTAATTTTCAAATCCATTCCATCGTATCCTCGTAGCCCACCAACTCAGCTCTGCACATCCTACGCTAATTGCACATTTTGCCACCATCATATTTTTTTTTTTCTTATTCATAAGCACAGAACAAAACACATCTCCATTTGCATAACTCCAAGACGTGTTTGGCTTGTACGTTTCAAAATCTTACTTGACAACATTTCATGTTTTGTCTTTTATTTTGAATAAAAATTAATTTAGTTACTTATCCAAAGAAATAGGCTCGAGCATGCTATAATTATATTTGGTATCTACAATACTATTTATAATAATTGACTATGTTTAAATACTATATTAATTCCATAACATATTGTTTATGTTTAAATACCATACTTTTTGAATCTTGGTTGTAGACGAAGCCCTCGCCTGCGAGCCACCGCGTGCTTGTTACGTGGTATGAAGGGGAAGCCAAAGATTTCTTATATATGGTTTCAGTATGGTGTAATAGCATTTTTTTTTTCATGATTTTATTGTAGTTTATATTTAATATATATATGCGTAATGATGTCTTAGTTTTTAAGAAAAATATTTTCAGATGTTTTGAACTTTTTTTTGCACGTTTTAGGAGATAGCCAGTTGGTATCTCATATAATGTTAAGGTTATATTTGTGCCGTTTTGAAATAAAATTCAATATTCAAATTGACAGTAATGCTAAGGAGCCAATTGTTGGCTCCGTTACGGAGCCAACAGCCAATAGGACAGCTCTATGTGGGGCTCTCTCACATTGGAGCCATGTGGGACAGTCCTACATGAAACTGTCCCATTTGGCTGTTGGCTCCGTAATGGAGCCAACAATTGACTCCTTAGTATTACTGATCAAATTGATACGATTTTAAAAAATTGATTGTTGTAATGAAAATTTTACCTTTTCATTAAAAAAGGAGAAAAAAAAAATATTATGTGAAAAGAAATTTGCAATAAAATAGTAAAATACACCGTGCGTCTGAAAATGACCACATGCTTGTTACACTCATCAAGTTATCAACCACTCACAGCCCCTCAAAACCAGTGCTATTACCGTGCGCCCTGGCACACCTAGCAAGGTGTGTCAGGACAGTTTAAAATGAACATGTGCAAACATGATTTACACATGTTCATTTTGTAACATAACATGTTCATTTTAAACTGCCCCTGCTAGATGTGCCAGGGAGAACCTAAGGGTGTGATTGTATATGAATTGAACTAGTAAAAAACTAGTTTTTTCTTAATTATAATTAAGTTTGAAAAAAGGTAGTATAGTTATTTGTTAGTGGATATATTAAAATAATATTTAAAATAAAATAATTAAAGTTGATTTGATATAAAAGTAAGAGAAAATGATTGGATGTGATGGTTAGTTAAAATTATGTGAGTGGATGAATAGTTAATTAAAGTTGATGTGATATGTAAAAATGATTGGTTGATATTATTTAATTATATGAATAATATTGGAGATAGTGGAGTAGAGTTAAAGTTGAGTTAAATTTGAGTTTTGATTAATTTTTTTTTACTGTACAATCCATATACAATTGCCCCCTAAATATTTGCGCCTCAAATCCTGTCCACATTCATCCCCCCTCGCATCTTCCCTTCTTCCCGTCAAACCCACGCTTCTCTCCCTCTTTCATCACAACAAAACTATAAAACAAACTCCACAGTCCACACTCTTTCCACCCATTTTTTCCAATTTATCACCATTTTTTGTTCACCAATGGAATTTAAAGCTCTGTTCGCGTCCGCTATTGTTGTCACCTTCACCCTCAGCCCTTCTTCCTCCTCTTGTCGCTGCTCATCCTGTCATTGTCGTTGTTATTGATTTCTGGTTTTCGAACTTCCTTGATTTTGATCGCTGAACAGAAGGGCAAAATCCACCACCGCCGTCGCCGTGCCTTTTCAAATTGGGCATTTTTTTTCTGCTGAAAGTTGTGTGAGTATGGACCTGACGCAGCCTCTGCCGAACAACGGCCTCTCGCTAGGGTTCCTCTCCCACGTCTCCTCGTCGCCGCCGCCGCCGCTGAATCGCGGCCACACCTCGAAGATCGCCGACGACTCGATCTCCTTCCAGATCGAGTCCCGATGTCGTGATCGCGACCCCTCGCCCCCAATTCCGCTTCAGCTGATGGACAACCAGATGGAGAATCAACGCCGTGACCTCCGCGGCCGGAATAACTCGATCGAGGACAAGAATTGCAAGGAGGAAGACGAGAGATTCGAGGAGTTTCGGATCCTGGGTCACCCCATGACCCTGAAGCGCAAGCGCGACTCAGAGTCGACCTCGTCCTCGCCGCCCTCGATTGGATTTAGGGTTCCTTGCGACGAGATGGAATCAAGCAGGAATTCAGTCCGGGCATGGGGAAATCAGAGCTTGAGAAATGCCGACCCAGCTATATTCGAGATAATGGAGAAGGAGAAGGAGAGGCAGTTCAAAGGGATTGAACTGATTGCCTCTGAAAATTATGTCTGCAAAGCGGTAATGGAGGCCCTGGGCAGCCACCTGACAAATAAGTACTCTGAGGGAGTGCCTGGCGCCAGATACTATGGCGGGAATCAGTACATTGACGAGATCGAGACTCTGTGTCGAGATAGGGCCTTGGCTGCTTTCGGGCTGGACCCCGAAAGCTGGGGTGTAAATGTACAACCTTATTCGTGTACATCTGCTAATTTCGCAGTGTATACAGGGCTTTTGCTGCCAGGTGATCGGATTATGGGGCTCGACACGCCTTCTGGTGGGAACACGAGCCATGGGTGTTATTTGCCGAATGGTAGGAAAGTGTCAGGAGCATCGATCTTTTTCGAGAGTTTGCCATATAAGGTGAACCCTCAGACTGGGCATGTGGACTATGACAAGCTTGAGGAGAAGGCATTGGATTTTCGGCCCAAGATATTGATATGTGGTGGGAGCTCATACCCTCGGGAGTGGGATTATGGGAGGTTTAGGCAGATAGCGGATAAGTGTGGTGCGGTGTTGTTGTGTGACATGGCTCAGATTAGCGGTCTTGTAGCTGCAAAGGTGAAAATTTTGATCCTTTGCTTATGCTGTTATTTAACTTGTCAGCCTGGTTCTTAATGTGTCTGATTTTTCTGTTAACAATTGAACTTGCCTTGTATTAGTGCTCTCTGAATAGATACTATTAATGTTATTGTTTTTTAAGCTTGCTATTCACATACGCATGTACTTTACTATTAGTTGATGGGTTGTCTTAAATTTTGTCATGTTATCGCATTATGCTAATTGAATCATGCACATATATGCATGTACTTTACTATTAGTTTATGAGTTCTCTTGAATTCTGTCATACATATCACATTATGCTAATTGGATCATGCTATATGTGGTGAATATCTGACTGTTATAAAGCATATGGTCTGGTAGGTAGGTTTGGATATATTGGCTTAAGATATGACAAGGCAGTTTAGTTTTTGGTACTTATCTTTAATTCTGGTCTGCCCTTTTGCATTTGTATGTTTTTGTTAATTAATGGTCAATTAGAAAACGTGGCATCAATTGATATAGTAACTTGTATATATCAGAATGTACCTTCTATCTATAATCTACTTTGGTTCTCCTCTTTGAGAAAATTTTAACAACTTTATTAACACTGACAACCCTTTTCCAGGAGTGCGTCAGCCCTTTCGAATATTGTGACATAGTTACGTCCACAACCCATAAAAGTCTACGGGGTCCGAGGGGAGGTATTATTTTCTACAGGAGGGGCCCAAAATTGAGGCGAAGGGGTGTGCTTTTAAATTCTGGCGATGGCGGTGATAGATACGATTTCGAGGAGAAGATAAACTTTGCGGTTTTCCCTGCTCTCCAAGGTGGACCCCACAACAACCACATTGCTGCCCTTGCTATAGCACTGAAGGAAGTGGCTTCCCCTGAGTACAAGACATACATGCAGCAAGTGAAGAAAAATGCCCAGGCTCTGGCATCTGCTTTGCTGAGGAGGAACTGCAGGCTGATAACTGGGGGCACAGATAATCATATGCTGCTTTGGGATCTAAGGAATCTTGGATTAACAGGTATGCTTCTTTTCTTTTACATATTGCTACTCTTTTTCTTATATCCATTTTACATTGGGATTATATTGTTATATTGTGTCTGTGGGTGTGGATGTGGCTTTTGCACGAATGGGGATCACTTCACTTTGTTTTTACGTTTCATATTTAAGAATGACTGGTGTTTGAATGTTCGTAAGGTTTTTTCCTGCTACGCCTGATCTATAGCCTTTATTTGTCATAGATGTCGTTTTGAAAAATCTGGTCGTTGCTTGTTTTGGTGCTCGTAATTGTTCATTGGCATTATCTTTTGTGATTTGATTCCTGATAGTTTTTATTAATCTTTTCTTATTTTGGTGCTGTGTAGGTAAAAATTTCGAGAAGGTTTGTGAGATGTGTCACATCACTCTTAATAAAGTCACCACTTTCGACGACAATGGAAATATCACCCCAGGTGGCGTAAGGATTGGTATGTCACATTAGTTGCAGCTTGTGCATCTTTTTTCTTTTTTCTTTTTTTTTTTTTCCCTTTTCTATACTATGTTATGTCTACAATATAATCTAATAGCTTTCCGTTGTCTGGTCCCTCAGGTACACCTGCAATGACGTCAAGAGGCTGTCTGGAGGCTGATTTTGAAGTTATGGCTGACTTTCTACTTCGAGCTGCACAAATCGCGAGCTCAGTGCAAAAGGAACATGGAAAGCTACCAAAATCTTTTCTCAAGGGGCTCGAAAATAACAAAGAAATAGTTGAGTTACGAGCACGAGTGGAAAACTTTGCTTCTCAATTTGTTTTGCCGGGTTTTGATGGGTAATCTGTATCACCGTTGCTTCACTGGTCCAAGTTTCATGCCTCAGCCCGACCTTTGCTGTCTATAATGACATAGCATTTTTTTTCCTTTATAATTTGTGTCTCTATATTTTCCTGCCAAACACTGATAGGATTGAGAATCAGGTTTTATTATTATTATGATGATTAGTGCTAGAACACTTTACATATTACATAAGTTTAGATATTTTTTGGTGATTACATATGAAGATTGTGCTAAACTATACTTTTCTGATTTGTTCCTTTATTGAAGGTTAGCTGCTTAGTTTTATTTTCTCATTATGAAGTCTCCTTGTTCTTGCTGTGACAGGTTTTACATTTTTTCTAAGAAAAGAAAAAAAGCACTTGCACCTTTGTCCATAATTTTATCCCAACAAGTTATATAGATACAAATCCAAGAAGGTTTCCAAAATGCGTTCAAATAAAGGCAAGTAGGAGTGGAACATACTGAAAGAGAAATGAACTATAATCTATTGAAGGTAAAGCCTCTAAATTATAAATAGTAGTAATACATAAGAAGGTAAAGCCTCTACCATAAGACTTTGTTCTGTAATGGTTAGACTAAATTATAAATAGAAGTCCTACAGAATAAGGCCTCTACCATCAGACTTTGTTGGTTAGACTAAATTATAAATAGAAGTCCTACATAATAAGGTAAAGCCTCGTCACTCTACAGCCTGTCACTCTACTGTTTTTGGCTTTTTTTTTTTATGATTGCCTAATGGTTATGGCTTNAATGTTATGGCTTTTGTTTCGGTTTGTCTTCCATCCGTTGGTCTGGTAGCAATAATTTTTCTACAAATGTATAGACATTTTATAGTATGGATTTGATGTAATTTAATAACTATAACTCCACCAATTATTACAAAATGAATCAAAATATCATAAAATTTATAAAAAGTGGTGTTGTTGTAATGTGTGTGAATGATTTTATTTATTTATTATTTTTTCACATTCTTGAATAAAACAATATTTCCATTAATGATCCCACACTTTCGATCTCCCTGCATTTCGCTCTGCATTTCGCGAATGGTTAGCTCTAACAATATAAACAAACTTTATTAAATTAGATCATTTTTTTTATTATTAAATTTGGCAATGGTTTAGACGGGAATTTAATTACTATTTTAAATAAATTATTTATTTTTTTCAATATCAATAAGGTTGAATTTTATTAGTTAGATAGAAAACCTAATATATATTGTTTTAAAAATATCACACTTATTTTAAAAATATCCACTGTCACGTAGGAAGCAGATGCACCAGATTTTGAAACATAACTGAAGTTTCTAAAATAAACCAAAACTTCATGTTCGGTAGTTTCTACAATCATCCCAAAAACTGCTAAGGAAAAAAAAAACACACACACACACACAACACAAAACCAACAATAATAACAACCATAAACAAAACTTTCCCAACCCTACATCTCATCTACCTAAGCTAAACTCGCTTTGATCACCTCAAACTCTCTCTATCTATTAGAGCACATGTCAAAAAGCATCTTCCTTCCCTCCACAATCTCGTCAAAGAAATCATCCAACTGCCCGATTATCCCCTCCACCCCACACTGCAAAACCCCGAAACAACTCCTCAAGCTCTCGACTCTCTCGTCGATATCAATCTCATTCTCATCCGTACCCTCAATCGCCATTTTCACCTCATCCAACGCGAACTTCGCGGCCCGAAGCTCGAAAAGTACCACTCCGGACTCTAACCCTAGACAACTCACTACACTCACGATCCTATCGTGTAAATTCGCACTCGATGCCACAAAGTTCGAGCCCATGATGAACGGGCTTATCGTGATGACATCATCGTGGTTGTTGTTTTCTCGGCAAAAGCTCGTCTCGGGCCAAAAGTAGACGAGCCCGCTTAGGAGTATGCCCAAAAGCAACTTGCTCGCGTTCCTCATCGCGTATAGTGCTCCTTGGAAGCCGTTGTATTTCATGTACCTTAAATCGGCTACGAAATTTTCTTTGATGACGAGGGATAGTGATTGTACTTTCGTTCGCGCTATGCGCTTGTTTTCTTGTGTTAGAGGTATCATTTCACGTTGGCAACGATCGATTGACCGGCTGACCTGTCGAGTTATTAATCAAAAACATGTCAATCTTTACTATTTACTTGACGAGAAATGTTATAGATACATAATACTTTACATAGAGGTGTATATAACACTCTTATTTTCAATCTTTACTATTTACTTGACGAGAAATGTTATAGGTACATAATACTTTATATAGAGGTGTACATAACACTCACATTAAGTGGGTCCTACTAAAAATACAAAATTAAATGGACCGCACTCCATGTGAGTGTTATGTACACCTCCATGTACATTTTTTATGTACTTGTAGCATTTTTCTTACTTGACATATCAAGAGAATATTGTTAGTGAATACTAACTAATTAATAATTACCTGTCGATAAAGATGCGCGTTCAAGACACGATGATTGTCGAGAAATGAGGCCACGTTGGCGCCACATGTGTAGTAGCTCTCCATGTTCGAAACGCCCGACTTGATGACGTGGCAGGACTCCCAAAGGCGGGAGGTCTCGTCCATGTACTCATCGAGCCATTTTTCACCGACCCGGAGCTTTAGCTTTTGGGCTAAAATGACGAGCTTTGAGTGGAAGGAGCGGAGGGTCGAGAGGACGTGGGAAAGGAAGTCGATCGACATGAAGTTGTTAGAGAGAAAGAGGTTTTCGAGACTTTGGAGCTCTCGAGCAAGGAAGTTAAGGAAGCCGTTGACTGAATTCGAGGATGAAGAATGAGACATTATTATTATTGTTGTTGTTGTTATTATCAATGGTGATGCAAAGAGTTTTTAGGTTTAAATTTTTAGGGTTTTTTGAAAGGATGTAGAGAAGGTGGTGGAGGAGATAATGGAGCTCATGCATCTCTATTTATAGGGTTGGGAGAAGATTGGAAAGTTAGAATTTGGTAAATAAATTAGTCTCTTCCGATAAAAGAGAAGAAAATATAGAAAATGTCTTAACATAAAAATGTAATGACTAAATAATAAAATGATGATTGATAATTAGAAATATGCATGTTTTTTTTTTTTCTAAAATATATAATAATTATTATATTTTATTTTTTAAACTATTTTACCATTGTAGAGAGAAAATTGAGATTGGATTAAATAGTAGTTTCTATGAAAGTTTTTGTTTCATTTTCATCAATAGTTAAATCATGAAAAACAAGACTTATAATATTTTCTCTCTTAATTTTGAACTATATATTATCTTGGTTGAAAAAAACCTCAATGTAGCATGGAGAATATAATTTTTACATAATATAAATTTAATAATTATCTAACAACACTGAGATTATAATATTAAATTTGTATCATCAAATATTTATGGATTAACAGTGTAGCTGAACTCATAGAAAATATGAATTGAGAAATCTAATAAGACTCGAACAAACCACATATATATCACAATCAAGAACACAATATTTGGTCCTATGTTTTTGCTCAATTAAATAGCCTTATACCTCTCGAAAGAATATAAAATCATGTGAATTAGTATTTCGGGAGAATAAGATTTATGTTCATTCAAATTCACTACCCACATTAAATAAATTGAATTGTATTATGTGTATATGTACAATTAGTTGCGATTTTAGAATAGAACTTTAATGAATCAGTGGATTTTTTTTCGAAACCTAATTTATCACATTCCTTCGCTTCTACAAAATGCGATACTAGAAGAGTGTCTCGCTGCATGTTTCTATAATAGAAAATTAAATAAATAACTAATTCACATTATTTTTAAATTTTAGTAAGCTGATCCATGATTATATTAAGACATATATATAAATATATTTCTTTTTGTGGGATCACAAGATTTTTTATTCGCCATATTATTGGTCATCAAATATCTTCTCAAGAAAATTAATGCAACTAAATTAATTCATTCATTCATTAGTTGCACTGATATTAAGCAATCAGACATGCAACTATTCGGCTTTAGCTCCTGGTCGGTGTAATGTGTAGTCAAAAGATAAAGAACTAGTTTTTATAATCAAGATGTGTTTTTCCATTAATCTTAATTATTTTCTAATTCT